TCATCCCCCTGCGGCCCTGCCGGCTTTTCAGGTCCTACTGGCCAAGGGATATGTCACATCCCAGCAACTCTATGGAAGGCTTCATCACCGGGAACAGCCTCCAACCTGTCGAGATGCAACCTTCAACGATGGGTTCGTGTTCTGTCCCACGACGGTTCATTGGATTCAAAATGTCACTGTTGAGGAGCAATATCTTTTTGCTGATCACACACCGGTGCAACTTGAGATTCATATGCCAGTTGCAACACCAACTCGGACAATTTGGAGACTGCCACATAGTTGGACACAATTTGTACCACAGCCGCAAGAAATGGCCAAGCAATATGGCAACTACCGTTCCGATCCGCCTACTTCGCTGGAAAACTGGGCGCAGTTGTGTGAGCAAGCAGTGCATGGCGCTATTCGTACTGCCCACTCTCAAGACCCTCTCCGGCATCCATTTGCATCCCTTCCCCGACGGGCTAGAGGACGATGCCAACCTAGAAAGTGTGTCAAAGTTCCGTTGTATCAACCAATCCGCCCTGCGGGTGCTCATCAATATGCCCCGGGAGTAGATGGCTCCACGGCTCATTTTAGAAGAGCAGTGCGTCAACTTCGAGGAGTTCAAAGTCTTCTCCGACGTCTTCAAAAGCTGGAAGCGGACCCTACTTTGACTCCTGATTGGACGCAATTGATTAAGGAGTGGGAGGTCATTTCTGACACCTTGTTTGAGGGCCAACCTTACACAGCATGGCTAGCCAAGTGGCCGGAACTTCCGGACCAGCAGGACTTCTTTCCCACACTGTCTTATTTGGACCAAGCTTGTCAACTGACCAAGCACCAGGTCCAACACTTGGAGTCTCAAGAGAAACGACGGTTACAAGCGGCACACAGATATGAACGTTTGTACGATAAGAAATGGTCTAGCAATGCAGGTGCCTTTCGTAAGATTCGACCCGCAGCACCTCCCTGTCTTACGATGCTAAAGGCCACATCCACTTTTGACATCCTGGATATCAAAGGAGTGGGCACGGGACTTCTCACGTGCAAGATTCCCCAATTTGGGGCACCACATCCGTTGGCCGACTACCGTCTGGGAGATCTTCAGCTACAGTTCTGTGCGCAACACAATGATGAGATTGATTTCCTCCAGACAGATGCGGACAAGCCTCTTCCACCTCAACGTAGATTGGTGGTCCAAATTCCCACCACAGATACCCAAGAAGTTGCTGATGGCCTTAATCACTACTGGGCCAGATTTTGGACACGGGATGATGACACGACTGACTGGACGGAGTTTTCTGATCTCCTTCGACGCACACCCATGGTGCCAGCTTTGGACACTGATCTTACATTGGAGGAATGGAAACAAGCCATCCGTCACTTGAAGATTGGTACAGCTCGTGGAGTTTGTGGCTGGTATGCTCAGGAACTCCGCGATCTACCCGATTTGGCAGTGGAAGATCTCTTTCACCTTTTTCGTGACCACATGGCATCCATGCCCTCTCACCTCATGCATGCCAGGACCATACCTCTGGGCAAGACTGCGCAGCCTGATCATGCGCATTTGACACGACCCATCACGGTCCTTTCCCTGCTGTACAGACTGTGGGGCCGGGCCACCACGGTTAAGATTCTTCAGCATTGGACCAAGCACTTCCCAACTGCAGTGGTTGGATTCTTGCCGGCCAGGTCTATGACCAATGCCATGGTAGGATTTCAATGGAAATTGGAGCAAGCTCATCTTGGCATGGATCTGTCATATGGAGGACTTACTCTGGACCTGGTCAAAGCATTTAATCTTATTGGTCGTGAACCTGCAGCGGAAGCCATGCTTCATTATGGCCTCCCATCCGATTGGGTGCAATTCTGGTTCTCCTCCATAACTGCCATGGATCGAGTCTGGGAAATTAATGGGAGCTTGTCCCAGCCTTTCCAACCAACTACAGGCTGCCCTGAAGGAGATACATGGTCGGTTGTTGCTATGCTTGCACTTTCCAATGTGTGGGTACATATGTTGCAAGATACTCCGAAACCTGTGGCTCCCCTCTCCTATGCTGATAACCTGGGTTGGTCCGCTCAAGATCCGGATGCTCATCAAGATGCCCTCACATTGACCCTGGCCTGGTCACAGGCCCTGAGGTTGCAGGTAGATTGGAAGAAAACATGGGTGTGGGCAACTGACAGCACTCATGCGGATGCTTGGCGACACCTACGTCAACAATTCACAGAATTACAGGATGTTCTCAAAGTTACCAATGCTCGGGAGCTCGGCTACATGATCGCGTATTCGAAATGCCAAAACAAAAAGACATTCTTTGCTCGACATTCCGAAGCACTTGAACAATGCCGCCGAATCTCTCGGTTGCCACATCCTCTTTCCGTTAAAGGGAATCTTCTTCGGGCTCCGCTCTCCAGATTGCTTTATGGTACTGAATTGCATATGGTATCCTTGGAACACCTGAGACAACTCCGCACCGCCATGGCGCGGGCTCTGCTAGGAGGAAAGGCTCAACCCAATCCATATTTGGCCTTGGCACTTCTCCATAAAGACATACTGGATCCACACTTTCAGCTCCTCTACCATGCTTTTCGAGCTCTTCGTCGGTTTCTATGGTCCCTGACAGCGGGAGCTCGAGATCAATTCTTTCGTCAAGTGGTCCGGCATTCCGGCCGCCCCTGGCAGATCTTTGGTCCAGCAGGTACCCTTCGATATCATCTGGACTTCCTTGGATGGACTATGACTGCTCATGGTCAGACTCTGACGGATGCTTTTGGTAAACTGGACTTCCTGACCTGTGCTCCTGCCCATCTCCACCAAGAACTGGTCTTTGCATGGGAACGACATGTCCAACTTCTACTCCAAGCCCGGAAGGCATGGAAAGGAGTACCACAACCGGACTTTGTCACCACGGCTTCCTTGTTTATCAAACTGCCGACTGATCGTCAGCGAATTTTGGCGGGAGAACTGACAGGGTCCTTTCAACTGCAGCACCGCAAAACAAAGTGGGTTGAAGGGCTAGATGAACATTGTCCTCTCTGTGGTGGTGAAGACACAGTTGAACACCGGAGGCTCCACTGCCCCGCTTTACAGCAAGCCCGCCTGGCACACAGTGAGATTGTCGACCATTTGCTGGAAATTGACCAGGTCCTTACTACACTACCGGTGATCTACAGACACCCTGAGTATGTTTTTGATCACTGGTGGAGTCATCAGATCCCCGAAGCTGCACTGATGCCCTCTGCCAGGCAAATTCTTGCACAGGACCACGAGCGGGGACTGCGACCCTTGGTCTTCACTGACGGTTCGGCTGCACCGCCGGCCTATTCTGAGGCTAGACAGGCAGCAGGCGCCGCTGTGGTGCTCTCCCGGAGTCACATTGTGACACCAGAGAAGAGGGAACAGATGTTGCATTCTTATTTTGCTACCTCTGTGCTCCCACCGGAGTTCGTTACCATGTGCCTGTTGCCCACACCAGGCTCCCAGACCATACCGCGGTCTGAGCTGGCCATTGTTGTGCAGGTCATACAGCATTGTCCTTGTGTTGAGATTGTGACGGATTCCCAATACGTGATTGATCTCCACTGGAGGGCGAAGGCTCAGTCCAACATTGCTGCACTTCAAGCCCTACCAAATTTTGATCTATTGTACCGGCTTCATACACTACAGGGGCAACCTGGCTATGATGTCGTGCTCACCAAGGTGGCATCTCACCAACTGATTCCTGGACTGCCAACAAGGGAACGAGTTTTCCAACTAGGCAATGAGGCCGCTGACCAGGCGGCCAAAACTGCCAGGACTCAACTTGTGGAAGCGTGTCGACAAGTGCCTGCGTCACATTTTCTGGAAGAGCGCCATCGGGTAGCTGCACAATTTGCCCTCTGCTATGATGTTGGTTGCTTGAGAAAAAATCTGTTGCAAATGACGGACGATACAACGGAGCCTACACCTCCGGCAGCAGATTTCCTGGTCACTGAGGTAGATGACCCCCACGTGTTTCCTCCAAATCTTCATCAAACACCGCTGCTGCGATATAGCTTGTGGGGAGCGGGGTTCACAGAGGGGATCCTCTTTTGGGCATCGCAAGTCAGATGGCCACGAGACAGCTTTTGCACTGCAAAGGCCGACACAGCCTCGGTTGGTGTAACCTGGATGGAACTCCTTCTTGATTGCCAATTAACACTACAACTTCAATGGCCACATAGTACCGTCAGTTCGAAACATCCTCCCTTATTGCGGCACCCTGGACTCCATGGTGTCAATCAACTGGATGTGCCGTTCACCTGGAACCTTAGCAACTTTCGCCGGGCCCTACGGCACCTGGAGGATCTCCTTGGCCTGCAGCTCTTGCCTAAAGCCCGTGGTACTGTAAATTCACTTTACCGACTAGGGGCTCGGGGCCACAAAAAAGGCATTCCATGGAGGCCGCAGCTTTGCTGCCCACAGGAAGTGGAGCACTCGCTTCGTGAATACTTCAGGCTGCATCCACACTGCACTCAATTCCGTGAGCAACCAACCATGGTTCCTATCCCTGCGAAATTTGTCGTTTGTTGGAAAGCAGATGAAAGATCCTACGAACCCGACATTGGCAAACATCGGCTAGCTCGTTTCACCTCGTGGAAGCAGAAGGGACGACCGTCCTCACTGCGCTTTGATCCTCCAATGTGAGGATCCTCATCTTGCGGACAATGGACCTTCCTTGCCCTGTCAGCGGGGGGGGGAGGAATCTCAATCAGTGCGCCGGTCTATCTTCCTTCTTCATTGGGCCTACGGTGCCATATGGCTCTACTTCCCAACAGCTTCTCCCCAAACAAATCGCAGGAGCCCAATTCCTGTGGTTGCTTTCATGCCCGGAACCAGCCGGTGGAGGATTTTCCGCAAAAATTGCTCACGAGGATGAAGATCTCAGATCCCACAGTACTGGCTGATTTGGAGATGTTCCGCGGAATTCGCCCCAAAATCTGGGGGACCTCCCGTCACGGGATCCTCCCGCCCACGGTTCTTCACCGAGCCGGGCGGCATAGGAGCTGACCGTGTCTCCGATCCTCGGCGACTCGGATCCGGCACAGCACTCGTCGGTTACCAGCTCCCGTGGCTGAAACCACCGAAAAGCAAAAAAACTAAAGACCCTGAGTACATCGATTTTTCAGTGGTTTCAGAGGTTCGGCACTGGCAACTGATGTCTTAGACACATGGGGGGATAAAAATAAACCACCTCTTGCTTGGTTTCTGTGCCATCTACTCTCAATCCACTATAAATATGTGTTTTTTTAAATGGTGGATTTGGAGTCTTCCTGTTTTGGTGGATGGCCAAGAGGTCCTTTTTCGGATGAGAAGGGGTGGCCATTGGCCATCATGGGCCCCTGTTCTTTTGAAATTGTGACCCAAGAGCAATCATGGAGTGCTGGAGTGTTGGGGTGGGGGTGATGAAGCCACGTTCCGTCCAACGAGTTTTCGTGATGATAGCTAGAACTAAAGCTAGACCATCCATGCTGGGTGTCCTGGCTGGAGAGCCCGGACAGTAGTAGGCGCACCCAGAATGGAATATCCTGGTAGATCCACAACACCCTTTATAAAGTGAGACAGTTCGCTCTTTGCCAGCTGGTCGAGGACATGGTCGACAGCGATGTTGCTCAGAATCCCTTGGTTGCTAGTCCTAAAAGAGAGTTGCGACGGAAGCTTTTTGAAGATTGCCAAGGTCATTGAGCTGATTCTGGTGCTCGATTGATGCTACATTCATGCAGAAAGCAATCATATGGTCATATGGTATTTCCCTCAGGTCCCTGCAGGTCGTCAGCCAGTAACATGGTACATCGGTACATCATGGTACATCCAACAACTCACTCCCGAGCCGTTTCCCTGGAAACTCAATGGTGAACCTTGTTCCTGTTCTTGTTTAAGGTGGGGAAACCGATCCCCCCAAAAAGGTTACAGTAGTAGTAAAGGTTATCAACTGAGTAGGAATAAGGAGCTTCAGGCTTACCTTCACTCTCCAAGGTTACCTTCACATAACCGAGGTGTCCTCCTTCGCCCGGTGTCCTCCTCCGCTCGGTCGCTTTGCCGGCTTTTGTTCTTCGTGAGACGACAACCCCGCCCGCGGGCGGGCTGCGGCGTCGATGATTCAACCGACCGTGGCTTACCTTACTTTGGACCAAAGAGGCAGGTCGTACGTGGCCCGAGTGGCTTGGATTTTTTCGTTCGCTTTTGGTTTCTTGGTCGGATGTCCTGGAAGTGAGTTATTGTGTCACGATCAGGTCGTATGAGGGTGCTCATTCAATCTTGGAATCTTGTCCTGATACTTCCTGGTTCCGGGTCTCATGACCTTCAGAAGACCCTTTGCAACTATGTCCCTAGGCAACGACACCAACCCCAACTGGGCCCACCGATGACCCCATCACTGCTCTGCTGGCTCTGCCGGCTCTACCGCAGATGTCCCGTGCGTCTCCCGATCCTGCGCGCTGGATCCACCTGCTGCCAGGCTGCTGTGGGAGACTTGAGATGTCAGTGCGAAGCAACTGCAACTGGGCGACGTGTGGTGTGCCAGAGCACAGCGGAATACAGGTGAGATGCCTAACAGGCCTAACACTTCAGGTATGGAACATCTTCATCGACCTCGTCAGCTCCCGGCACTTTGCCCACCACCTTCACTTCGTCAGCTCCCGGTGAGTCATGAGGTCGTCTCCAGCAGTTTGGAGTCAAAAATTCCGAACCCCAAGCAGGCAGTCTGTTGATCTCCGAACAAGCTCAAACCGAAAGCATAGAAACTGGTAGAGCACTGTGATTAAAAAGCCCACGCTTGGTAGCTTCCAAGGTAAGCAAAGGCTTACTTAGTTTACTCGTCATCTTGCCACATACCTGAGGAGTCCTGGGGAAATTATCATTTCAAAAGCCCTGAACTTTTCGAGGTGTTGTACCTGGTGCATTCAAGTATCTGTTAACTTATTCCTTGGCCACAACAGCAACATGATGCTGACTAGTATCCATGCCGTAGCATACCACATATATATACTTGGGTTGAACCATGTTCTCCAGACTTAAGGACTCGGGAAGACTGAGAAACACCTTTCCCCAGCCGCCAGTTCAAACATATTCCTCCAGGTTCCTTATTCATGAAGACATCTTGCAAACACGTCAACCCGCGTTTCCTCTCTTCCCGTCAACCTGCACCTTCTGACCTGCACGCGTCGACCAACCGCTTGGCCATTCGGATCACGAGGCAAGGAAGTAAAGCCATCTTCCCCAGGCCATTCGGCCAAGAACCGGCCAAGAACCGGACAGACACAAATCACCGGAGAATCTGGATGATATCAACCGCCCCTCTTACAATCCAACAGAGGGCGGGTCATTAATCTATGCGGTTTAATCGTTCATCCAAAGTGGATTTTACAATCATTAACCATTATAGCGGTACCCAAATAGATAGAAAATGATAGAAAAGTAGATCCCCACTAAACGTGTATTGGAAACCGTGTTCGAAACCGTCATATTTATTTAAGGATCACTATAATCAAGATCACCGTCTAATTTTCCGATCACGGTCCTTGCAGCCAGGAGGCGTTCATGTGTCAGCATTAGCCAGGGAAGCAGGCACCTGTTGTTCAGCAGCTACTATTACTCTGCTTGCTTCGATTCTCACTCACAGCCCACAGCCAATTCTGCCCAAACATCCAAAGAAACATAACTACAGAGTTGAAAAAGAATAAAGTTGGTGACTACCTGGTTCCTAGATACTATATAAATAGACCTGAATGGTTCCAAGGAGAGTCATCCCGGAATAGATTCGATAGAGCCTACTGCTACATATCCCGGTGATTTGTGATGACCATCTAAATGTTCCGATAGAACCTTCACAAGACAAACAGCACTTAGAACAAATGGTGGTCATTCAAGCATCCCCTCTCCAATCGATTCCAGCATAGGAATCTCCAGCGAAGCGGCGCAAGAGCGTCAAACACAAAAGGTTGGGCTCGATCGAACGAAGTCGAAGCGGCACGGCACACAAAGCACCGATTTATGGCAGGCGCGGCGATGCACCAAGGTGCTCAAGTCGTGAGCTAGAAAAAAGGGGCCCCTGAGCCAACAAACACGGTCATGTGTGAGTATGGTGAGGTTTCCATGTCTCTCATGCAGGAGGCCATGACCGAATCCGTTGCACGGGGAAAAGAGGACATCAGTGATCGGTCCTCAGCGATCACTGAAGCTACAGGCTCAGGAGGCTCCGGCATCATCTCAAAAGCGGTCGTCGAGCATAGCGCATCAGCTTGCCGAAGAGCTCTGTCGATCTTGTCGACTGCCGTCAGGCCCAGCTTCTTGTTCTTTTTGGCTGCCACGAAGTTGGGATCGTAAGCGATCGTCCAATGCCAGGTGGCCATGAATTTGAGGAGGCCTTCACGACTATCGGCCTTTTTCTTCGTCATGGAGTCGGCCAAGTCGTAGTCCGAAGCGAGCCACCTCAATTCGCTGCCACATCTTCGCAAGTTCTCGCGAAGTTGGAAGGCCTGGAGCGCTGCCCTCATGTTCGTGAGCCCCAAAAGCGGGCTCTCGTTGGTCTCCACAGCGTCGTAGCCACCACGGCTGTCGGTGCAGACAACTCCCTTCACCTTCATGGCCTGGAGCTCGGAGGATGCCACCAGATCTCTTCGAAGGTCTCGATGGTGGAATCCTGCTCCGTTGATCTCAGACCACAGCAGGCGTGCTCGAAAATTGCTGTCCTCTGACTCCAGGGCTGCCTGCACTTCAGCATCGTTGGAGGCGATGGCCTTTCTCTTCAACTTCCATGTCTTCCACGTCAAAAGGACCATCGGCGAAACATCGCCTGACAAACTGTCAGGACCAGCCAGGAGGGAGATCATTCCTCCCGTGCTGTCGCCCTTTGGCCTGTTGCTGTGGGCCTGGTCTCCCATGGTGATGACGATGACGTCGGACCAATGCTTCACCTTGGGAGGTCGAAAGAAGCGAAGCCGCTGAGGTTGGACACGGACCTCGCTGATCATGTTCTGGATCTCTCTTGCATGTGTGGTGGTGCCCTCGACCAAGATCTCCGTCAGGAGAAGGTTGCACCGGGAACATAGTTGTGGTTGCGTCTGGATGGCCAACCACTGCAAGGATCCAAGTGCCGTTCGGCAAGAGGCAATCTCCTGGGGCGTGAGTGCCTGGTCAGGAGTTCGAAGGCGCTGCACAGAGACTTCCAGGTCAGGTATGCCCTCAATGTAGGCGTCCTGATCGATCTCAATGCGGAAGGTGCCGTCAGCCTGGTCGATGGTGTTGATGTCAGTGCCAGCATGACGGTACGACCGTCGCTTGATCGTGCCCCACTGGTAGGCCTTGTCGATCTTCTGGCAAATCTCAACCCACTCAGGTGACTTGCTGTTGCCAACCCTGTGAAAGTCGTCCACGTGTCCTCCCATCGCACCGAGCAGAACGGGAGTAGAGGTCACCGGGTCAACTTCATGCTTGCTGAACCAAAGCCAGAGGCATCGCTCGCCAACAGCAGGGACTGCGCCAAGGCCAACAAGAGTCTTGTGCAGGTCGAGCCATAGACCTCTTGGAGCTGTTGTTGAACCATATATATTGCGCAAGATGCGAAGGAGAGCGTCTTGAGGTAGCCCCATGGCCTCCTTAAGTTCAGAGACTCCTGATGTCCAGAGCCGTTGATCGGCTTCAGTCGGTTGCGTCTGCAGGAAGGCGGTCGCAAGATCAAGGCCGCAGATCTCCCATTGGTTGACCACGGAGAGGAAGTAGAGCAGCGATCTTCCAAGTCCGCTCTGGACAGGTGCAGCTGTTTTAAAGTTCCTGTCCGTCAAGCTTGGATGCTGGAAACCAAGGAGTACGATGCGAGCCTTGGCTTTCTTGGTGGCCTGAGGATTCACCACCGTGTCCGGGTTGTTGTGGCTGTCTTGTAGTGCTTCATCACGTTCATCAGGTGGGATAGGTTTCCACGTGAGGACCCACCTGGCCTTCAAGATCCTGCCACTGCCATAGGCCTCGCGGACCTCCGCATCGTCCAAACATTTGCGGACTGCACTGTTCTTGAGGAAGGAGTTGACTTCCTTCATTTTGGCACGCTGGAAGAGGACCTTCTCGAGGTTGCTCAAGCGCTGCAAGGACACTTCAGAGTTGTTCAACTTCTTGGCCATGTAGAGGACGGGGTTCCGAAGAAGAGCCTTCTTCTTGGTATTAGTCTCAGGCTCCACATCGATGTGCATGACCAAGACGTCCAAGTCATCTTGACATTCGGTGAGGTAGCTGAAGACCTCATTGTTGTCAATCTCGGAGTGAGATTTCAGCTCCTCCACCCACTTCAGATCGTACTCACTGCGAGCTCTTTTGGGATCTCTCTCTGAAGGTTGTGGTTCATCTTCAGGAGGTTCATTAGCAGCGGCATCAGGAAGACTCGGGGTGTAGTCCTCGTAGTCATTGGCAGTTTCCTCAGCCTCTGGTAGGGCCGAGTTGGAAGGCCGTGCCGAGCTCGAAGCGTGAGCAGGAGGTACAAAGTGTTGTACTTCACGATCTGGAGGTTGTAGTCCCAATGGACTGCTGCGGTGTTTCAGCTTGTAGTCGGAGGGCTGCAGCGTAGACTTGCCAGTGGCTCGTCGTATTGGAGCATAGGTCGAAGGATCCGGAGAGAACGGAAGGTTCGGGACTTCAATCTCGTCCTCCTTTGGGAGTTCATCCAAGAGGTCAGTGAACTCTCGCTTGGGCAGGATGTCTGCCAAGGATTTCCACTTGGTGGGATCTTCATCGGCTGTCATCTCGTACTGGAGGCGCTCAACCTCAATCACTGGCCGAACGCTGTGGACTGAGCATCTATAGATGCGACTCCCGATGAGCACCCACAGGATGTGTCGGCGAGGATCACCTTCTTCTTGATGAGGTAGTACCTCTTGGAAGACCACTCTGCCAGGGCCAACCCAATGAGGTCGTCCAGACTTCTTGAAGCCGCCACGGCTGCCCTTGTGTTGATCAGCTGGTTGGAATTGTCGCCAGATCTTGACCAGCTGCATAGGAGAAAAAGTTCTCAAGGGCTGTCGAACCAGAGTGTTGGAGAGCTTGCTCAGAACTCTCTTTGACCTGGTCTTCACAGCGATCTCTTCAGCCTGTTGTCGGGCTTGAACGAGGCGTGCAAAGTCAGTTGACGGTTCCACCTGCTCGTACGTGCGGTGGTCCTCATCGGTCAGGGAGTAGTGCTTCCCGAAGGCCCATTGCTGAGCAGAATACCCAGCAGTGTACTCCGTCTGGTTCAGAGCTGAAGTGGCCAGAATCAATGTATGAGCCGGCCGAAGGTCCAGTTGTTCCATCTGGAGGACGGTTGCCACTTGCTTGATGTCCTGGATGCCAGCTTCTAAGATGCCATGTGCCCAAGGTTCCTTTTCAGGAGGGTAGTGCACTGCGATGTTGGACTCCCGCAGGAAGGTGTTGAAGCGATCAGAGGTGAAGCTTTTGCCATTGTCAACTATCACCATCTCAGGCTTTGGGAAGACGGAGAGCCAGCGTTCAGTGAAGGCTTCAATGATGTGGTCAGCAGTTTCAGCTCGCATCTCCATGTTGGGGTACTCCATGATGGGCCAGACCACACGAAGCTTCGTCGCCAGATCCATCATGAGAACGAACTTCACCTTGTTCTTGGTGGCTGGAATCTGCCACTCTGCGGTGTCCATGCCAACAGCTTGCCATGCACTCCACATAGAATGAGTGCTTGCCGGTGGAATGTTCTTGCTGGAAGTGCCACCAGGTCGAATGGCCTCACAGGCCGGACATTTGTGTTCCAAAGCCAGCTCAGACTTCCAGGCTGGTTGACCGGCATTCTTGATCAGCTTGGCCACATTCTTGTTGGTAGGATGGCCAGCTGCCTTGTGGAAGTGAGCTACCCTTGCCATCCATTGTTTCTTTTCTTGTTCAGAAGGAACTTCCACTGGCTGTAGGGCTTCTTCAGCAGGAAGAGCATTGAGGGTGCCACCGTCATCGTCGGCAAGGAGGTAGAGCTCTTCATTCTCCAAGGCAGCAGGTGAGTCCTGCTTCATGAAGAGGAGCCGGAGATTGCGATCAGACACCATCTCAGCTCTCCAGAATCGTGCCCAGGACTGGACAAGCTTCCAAGGGTAGTAGGCGCTCTTGGCGGTCTCGGCGCCTTGAATCAAGGTGTGTGAGTGGCCTCCATGGCATACCTTAGTCTTGTAGGTGGCATGGAAGTGTTCACAGGTGGTCTTGACAAGCCACTTCTTGTGAAGATGATGTTCACCTCGAGAGTCCATCATGCCATAGACGCAGCCATCGATGCGGCATGAGAGCCAGGGAATGTCCAGGGCTGCTAGGTAGGTCTCGAGGTCGACCATTGGAGGTTCTTGCCACCCTTGACATGGGTGAGTCCACTCGAAGTAGATCTTGGTGTCGGGAGCCTTGGAAAGGGTGTCCTTCACAAAGTCATTCATATACCAAAGCATCTTTCCTTCTTGCGAGCCTGCCGAAGTTCTTCAGGTCGTGAAGCATAGTTGAGGTAGGTCCAGCGGCAGAACTTTGTGCAAGGAAGGCTGAACCAAAGCTTCCGTGGTTTCTTCTTGGACCGAAGGACTTTCATTCGCTCCCAAGTCTCTTTCCTGTAGAGATCATAGCCTTGTTCAAGATTGATGCGGCGAGGTTGAAGTCCTTGACGTTGGCATGCTTCCGACAGCCAACTGTGGGGAGCACATGCGATCTCCCAGATGCCATCATTGTCTCCCAAACAGAGACTCATAGTTGCACTTGCCATAGAGCTCACCAAGGTCGTAGCCAGGAGCAGCAGCTTAGCGCCGATCTTCAAGGGCAGAGGCATAGGCATCTTGGTGGAAGGACTGGATGAACTGGTAGTAGCACTCTTGGAAGATGGTGTAGTGCTCGGAGAGGCCTGTGTCATTTTCTTCCGGGATGAAGTGCCAGGGCTGCCCATCATAGAGCTCTTCAAAGGGCCTGTAGCACTCTTCCGTGATGTAGTCTTCACGCTGACTTGGCTTCCTGCTCGTAGGCAGACGCCAGGCTCCCGGATCCAGTCTCCATGTCCACAGCCAGTTTGGCTGCTGCCTTGCGCTCTTGAAGCATCTTCATCAAATGCTCCATCTCGCTCGGGTCCATGTAGTCCTGAAGTTCGACCCAATGCGAAGGTGGTGATGTCGGAGGAGTTCCCACCTTGTCCCATGATGGAGCCGGGCTCGTGTCGCGGCTGCTCTTCTTGTTGCCCTTCTTGACCTTGGTCATCTCCTTGTCGTAGAAGGGAGGCTTCTCGCTCAGCTGGGGCACTCGTTGGAACACCGGTTCGACCATGCCCTGCAGGGCCTCGTCGGCATCGATCTTCTTCTGCATCAGGAGGCAGATCGTGGCCGTCGGAGTGCGCCCTCCCATCACCTCGTACAGCTGCGTGAGCATCTTGATGGTCAGTGGTGGACTGTCGGTCTTGGTGTTTTGACCATGTGAGCCCACTCGTGGAGTGTACTGAAGGCGGAGGTTGCACGTGCTGCAGTGAACCCAGCGGCCGTGCGGATTGGCATGAGCCTTCATTGGGACATGTTGTCCAAAGCATGGCCATTGGCCGGGATCGGTTCGAGGATCCCTCGGATCTGCCAGCACGGTCCGCTTGTCGTCGAACGGCTGCGGTGTGGCCTTCTTGTCCGTGGCTGAGCGGACGTCCCACTGGATCCCCTCTTCCTCCAGCTCGCTGGCGCGTGGAGCTCGCCGGGCCATGGTCGAGAGTCGAAGCTGGGGAAGCGGGAAGCGAATTGGAATCAGCTTCTCCGCAGCGATGCATTGAAGCCAGGGCTGCACGGTGATCAAAAGGATGCAAGCTCAAGCTGCTCCGATGAAGCTGAAAAAGAAGTGCACGTGACTGTTGAAGCTGACTCTCATGAACATGGTGTGCATCAGAAACTGACATGTCATAGTACTCAACAGGGTGGAACTCCAAGGTGTGACATGCATGACTCACATCTGCAGAAACCCGAACCCGTGGATGTCCAGTGGACCTGGTTTGACCCATGGTGAGGTACTCAACAATGTCCATGATATAGTGACCCTTCCGATTGCATGGTAGTTGATATTCTTGGGGATGTAGTGCATAGGAATCCATGGCCAAACCTGTTCGAAAATCCACCAACATAGCTGAAGGGTTACCTGACAAGTGGTCCATGCCAATGAGAATGGGCACCAACGTGTTCCTGTCAAAGTCCGGGTGATGTAGGTTTGGGGGATTTGGCAATGCAAACAACTTGAAGGTTCGAGCACTTCCGGTGACGGTGCTCGTGAGAACCACTTGATAAAGTGCACGACCCCATCCACCGTTGCCGAAACGAAAAAACGGACGAGCATTCTTGTATACCTCCACGGACGCTTGACTGTCCTTGGTCAAAATGGATGAGACCAAGGCCTCGACTGCAATCTGTGGCCCGGCAGAAGCCGTTGCTCCGCAGTCGATGAGGCCCATGTGAGGTGCCATGGTAGCCACAGGTGATGTCGCTGAATGGACATCCAAGGCTCCAGAAAACTCTAAACCAAAAAGCTCGTTGGTGTAGGCATTGACGGAAGGTCGTGACATGGTCCCCTTTTTGCCCTTGCCGGACTTGGAGGATTTGCCCTTTTGGAAGGCTTGAAGTTCCATCCATGAGGCAGTCTTGCCTTTCTTGCCCTTCCCCTTCATGTAGTAGAGCTCGTCAGTCATGTAGTGACCCTTCCAGCCCTTGCCTTTGCCAACAGAGGGATGCCGTCGATCGGGACAGTCTCGGGAGAAATGCGGGCCGCCGCAGGTCCAACACTTGGTGGGAGAAGACCCCTTGCCTCCTCCAATCACATGTCCAAACCCGCGATCTTTCCGAAGTGCCTGAGTGGCACGTTGAGCTTCAGCCCATGAACGCTGGGCTTCCATTGCCAAGCCCTCGGCAATCTGCTCTGCCTTCTGGGCCTCCTTTATCGCATCATCATCTTCCTCAGTAGCCTTCGTGCCCTCGTGCTCCTCGATGGCATAGCCCCATTCTTCATCATCTTGCCACCAGTCATCATAGTTGTCATCGTACTGGGCCACGTTGGCGTCATCCCACCAATCATCAGAAGGTGAGGTTGCTTCTTCAAACATGGCCTCATGGGTCTTTGAAGGAGACCAACCACCAGCATGGCGACGTCCGACCAATTGGTCGTCCCAGAGAGTCTGTAGTGCCTTGGTGACAACCTCGAACTCGAGGCTGCCTTTGGTTGTGCTGATGATGTCTCGCATGTCGTCTGGTGACAATCCGGAGGCCTGCAAGAGACGGAAGCCACGTAGGACACCAAGGACGAAGCTGTCAGCCAGGCTCAACTCTGTAACACCAGGAAGGTCCCATTGAACTCCAGCTGAATGCCTCGAAGGTGAGGACGATGAAGCCACACGTGCATAGTTCCCGTGAGGCGAACCACTATCAGCAGCAGCTGCATGGTTGGAGCCCACAGGTGAGGTCTGAGTCTCCTCATCTTCGTAGCCCCAACTGGTCCATTGTTCCTCTTGTTCCCACTCTTCATCATCTGGCGGGAGGTCGAAGTCCAGGTCGTGCTGCTGGATGCCATTCTTCTCCTCATAGAGTCTAATGATGGCCTCACTGAACTCAGCATAGCATAAAGCCTCTCTGACAAGGAAGCTCTGCATGCTTTCTCCACTGTTTCGTCGGAAGCTAAAGTATTGCTGGCAGATCGCAGCTGCATTGGGAAGCGATTGCCGCACCAGTGGAGAGGATGCCAACCTGCGCAAGAAATCTCGAGTTCCGCCAGCATGGTCAAAGCTGACGGATGTCCATGACATAGCAAGTAGCCTTGCAGGGCCAGTGAGGCGTCCCACAAGGCGATGAGCGCAGTATCGCCGTTTGTGTGTTGGCGTGGATCGGACATACCAGCTCACTTCGCGATGGTATTTCCTCCACGTCCTTGCACTGCCGTCCCAGGATGGGACATGATGTCCGGAGTCTTTCTCCGTCATGCCAGGCAAAATGCCTGAACCACAAGTGAACTTGCCAAAGAGCTCGGAGAGCAGGTTGAGGCACCAAGGAAGGCGTCAACCAAGTAGTTCCCAATGAGCCAAAGGCGCAGAGCCAAACCAAGCAAGCCAGGTGCCGAGGCCAAAGCCGTAGAGCTCCAAGAACAAGTAGGCACCTAAGAGGAAGGCAAGCAAGCGACAGCCAATGCCAAGCTCCTCAGGAGGGAGCACCGGCCGTCAGGCCCCGGAGCTTGTGCTCCGCTGCCAATCCAGCGAAGCGGCGCAAGAGCGTCAAACACAAAAGGTTGGGCTCGATCGAACGAAGTCGAAGCGGCACGGCACACAAAGCACCGATTTATGGCAGGCGCGGCGATGCACCAAGGTGCTCAAGTCGTGAGCTAGAAAAAAGGGGCCCCTGAGCCAACAAACACGGTCATGTGTGAGTATGGTGAGGTTTCCATGTCTCTCATGCAGGAGGCCATGACCGAATCCGTTGCAGAATCTCACAGCTAGCCAATGGCGGGAAACAAACAAAAACGAAACAAGACCGCAACTAAAACACAAAAGCTAACAAACAATCAAAATAATTAAAAAACACCCCAAGCGCGTTGATGTCACATGGAGAGAAAAACGACCCAAACAGTTACTCATCCGATGGCATGAGCCTTTTGGGGTGCCAAGCAAAGCTCCATGTCCCTTGGGCGCTGCTTCCGGTCCGGTGTTTCTGGGTTTTCGACCAAACGACATGACTAGACTCGACTGGACCTTCCTCGATCGAGAGAACCCGGAAGGAAGAAGAATGTTCGATCGGATGTCATATACACTCCCGAAAACTAACATAGACCCTGACAATGGCCAACTGGAAGAGTGTTTTCCTCGGTTTTCAGGGTCCATGTTAGTCTTCGTGGGTCATGGCACCAAGATACCGTCACGAAACATGGTGGACAGGGGCTCCAAGTTTGGACCTATCCCCAAATGGCTACCTTGCAAGAAGAAACTGCGGGTGTACCTGATGGCAGTTGGGAAATGGTGGGAAAATCATTCGTTACTTGTAGCCTGTCAAAGTCGTAACCGCCGTAACCGAGCAACAAGCGTCAGGAGGGACAGCAGTGTTGGGCTTACTATAACCCAATTATTTGGAATATTGAATGGGTTCTCCTCATCGACCACTTTAAAAGGGCAGCCTTGTAAACCACCCAGAACGCATTTGATGTACCTTGAGCCCCAAAGTAATTGAAAGACATCCACAACAATTCAGAATCAACAAAATGTAGTCCTTCAATGCCAGGATGGCTCCCCAAACAATCCCAAGCATGGCCCACAGTTTGAATACCCCGTGCAGACTCGGGTGGACAACCAGCACTACAGGCTGGCATGCCCCCACATCCGCTTCCTGCAAACAAAGGCTCTCCCATGTTCATCAACTGGGGGCAAACACTGAAGCAAGCCATCTTGGCGCACGCAGGCCAACGGGCCAGTGGGCATGCCGGTTTGGGAGAGTTACCCGGGGAACCGCCTCCACTTCTTTCCCTGGTGCCCCTTGAAACTGGCGGGTCTTGTTGCCAATAAGAACCAAGTCCGTCTTCACTATATACTCTCCCTGGAACTAACATGGAAGTGGACAACCACCTGTTTGTATATAGTGGAAAATGGTCTTCCAGGGGGGCCATTCTCCACTTCCATGTTAGTTCCAGGGAGTGTATGTTAAGCAACTCTGTTCAGACTCGACCCTCGTTGTAGTCTCCTCGTCTCAGACCCGTCTTGAAAAGAACTTCGGGACTTCAGTTCAGGGACCTAATGTAGACTCTTGATGAATAACCCCCCCATATGAAGAGGTGTTTCATGGAGGGGGTTATTAATCAAGAATCAAGAGTCTACATTAATTAGGCGCTTGGGACTCTTGATTGGTCCATGAGGGTCCAGAGGGCATGAGGATTGGATCCATCGCAGCAAGCCCAGTTGTTGAGGGACAGACTTCTGACCTGACCAGCTTGAAAGCAAGACCGTATTGAGCACATACCGCGCGTTCAGCGGCTTAGAACCTTAGGATGAGTAAAAAAGTCTTCCACCAACTCTCTGGTAGAGTGAGGAGCTTTCCTCCTCAGCCAGCTCCAGCCAGCCACGTTTTGGTCTCGTTTGGGTCAGGACCCCAAGAGCGCTGGTCTTGGAGGACTCAGAATTGGCCTGTTCTGACCAGAATCCTTTGACCACAGGAGAACCCCACAGGAGAACCCGAAACCCAATGGATCCAATGGCTCGGACTATGGGACTGGCATATAGACCTACATTCACACCTGAAGCAGCCACCCCCAATGTAGGTAAATATGCCAGTCCCATGGAGTGTTTGGGATATATATATATACCCTGGGCTGACCAATCACTCCTGACTTCTGAAAAAGTTCGACCCATTCGCGGGAGAATCACAACGCAGCTCATCACCGCTGGATCGACACCGAAAGGTGTTGGAACCACCGCAGCTGTGTCTCACCACCTTTGCCTCTCGTGTGGGGCATCCAAGCCGCCGGGATTGGAGCTTGGATGAAGGAGATGTTGGGTACGTTCAGCTTCCGCGGCTTCCGCACTGCGCCCTCACACAGGGCCAAAAGCAGCCATGGCCACAGCTTCATCAGACAGCCTAAGTCCGACCAGACATGTCTGCAGGTGTCGGACACGGCGCAGAATAAGCGTATGCGCAAGTTGAACTTTCATGTTTCCTAGGATCCTCTTCCAGGGCTGCCCTGTGACCCTGACCGGTCACTGGGGATCCTCTTCCAGGGCTGCCCTGTGACCCTGACCTGTTTTTTGGGTCTTGCGACTGGCGGACGACGCATCTTGGCCCTTGGTCATGTTGTAAGACGGGTACTGGGGGTTGAAAGTGGACCAAGCTATATACACACCAGGAGTCACAAAGGGGTGGTTTCTAGTCTTTAAGTGAGTGGATAATGGCCACCCCTATCCTCCATTAAGCACCCTTTCGTGACTCCTGGCTCACCTCTCCTCTTTGAAAGACTTGACCGTCCCGACCGAACGAGTGACCCGGTGACCCGATTTCATCACAAAACTGGAAGCCACCTGCCTTCATGGCCCCTCAGTGACCTTGCATGAATCTTTTGAGATCCCGGCTGAGGATGGTGAACAGGCCACTACTGTCACAAACAGGTCCTTTTCACAGATGCAATTTGGAAGGCAACCGCTGGTGGATTGATGTCCGCTGTGTTCCGGTGATAGTAAAGGTGACTAGTCGTAGATGTGAAAGCTCTGTTCACCAAGATATTGGTTTGAAGATAGACTCGCATAGACTCGCTCATGTCATCACCACCCAGTGGAATGTCAGTGTGTTTCGTGCAGGGCTAGTGACTAGTGGCTGTTTGCATCTATGTTTGGTACGTATGGAGGGTACCTCTTACTTAAAAAGACTCAAGAAAGCTTGAGACATCTCTGAAGTGAAGTAAAACAACCCGCACAAACTCTGGCATCCCATGGCCCTTGTCACCGGTGTGGAAGGAAAAAAAACGGCGTTGGCCAGTTGGTTCGCCAAGATGCAGCTACTTGTGGCCACTGAAAGAAGTGTCCTGCAGATCTCTCGAGCTGTTCTCCTGAAGTCTACCTGGCCTCTTCAAATCTCTTGAGCCCAAAACAGAAGAACCAGCTGCTGACCTTTGGTATTCTTTGGTCGAGTCTCATGTTCTGCCCCTCACCCCAGCTGAAGCTCGCTGCACGTCGCTTCGATGACATCTGTGGGACGTTCCACAAGGACATACCCATGAGAATCCTGCTCACACATGGGTGGTGCCACCTGCTTTCTACACCTGCCCTTGCTTCTGATTCTGTCCTGTCCGAGGTCGAATGGGGAGGTATAAATCAACTTTGACCTGTGGTCCTGTGAGGCGGGGACGGTCGATGCGTCCTGCTTGGACGGTCGAGTCGACTCTGGTGTCGCGTTCCGTGAGTTCAGTCATTTTTTTGAACCCCAAAGCCCTCTTCATCTGGGATCAGTGGAACATCATTGCCCTAAGGATTCGGACCCAGCTGCCAACAGTTTTGAGGGTACCGACCCCTGTCAGTCAGGTTGACCCTTACTTGGTGGCTCAAGCGATTCTTTGGGGTGAAGAAGATGTACCTCCAGTCAATGGATTGGTTTCTACAATACATCATAAGGAACATCTATACAAGAAACTCCTCCAAACGATGGGTGTCCTGTAGATTCTCCCCTAAACCGATTCTGGGATCCAGACATGGCTCATGGATTCCAGACTAGTGAGGACCCTCCATCGTAGTCGTCCGTCCAACCCACCGGTTGCAGCTGATGAATCAGGGCACCAGTGATCACTGTTGATGAACCAACAAAAACTTAGATTTCTTGTCCTGGAGCTGGGAAAATGAATTCACATATTCCCCCAGGTTCGGGGATTCACCCAGTTCGGGAAAAAAAAACAAACAAACCAGGAAAGATCCGCTCCCAGGCTGAGCGTTCCACCAAACATCACATGCCACCGAACCCAACAGGTCTCCGATGGCTGGAGGGTTGGGAAAGGCCCTGTCACAGGTTTCAATTGGTGACCTGTTGGCCGTCGGTGCTGGTGGTTGTTTTGATACTGTTTTGCCCTAGGGCTCCAGTCGGCCCGAACCTGAGGTTCGGGACTGGGGGCCCGGGCGGGTGCCAGGTCTAGCCGCCTAGCCATACCGAACCTGAGGTAACCTCCTGGAGCCCAAACGGGGTTGTTTGTTGGGTGCCCCTCCGATGCCAAGAGTTGAGGCATCCTGGACCAGTGATGTCACGACTGGCTCCTGAAAAACGACTCAAAATGTCCATATAGAACCTGCCTACATGTTGTTTCAAGAGTTTCAGGGTCGCGGATGGTCCCGGTTTCCGGCCACGCGCGAATCACATGCGAAAAAAATGGGCGACAACAGCGGCTGCGCAGCGCAGTTTTCAGCGATGGCTTCGGGAGAAAGATTGGATAAAACTGATGGGGGGTCCAAGTTGAATCCGCCCATGCTCGACACACGGCAGGACTGCCACTGATGGTGCTCGACTAGGCAGGACCGCCACTGATGGTTTTTGTCCGGTTTCCATTGTTTTTGTGGGTCTTTGTTGGTCGTCAAATACACAAAGCACATGTGTGCTCTGCATCTTTATAACACTGAAGTGATTCAACTGGAATGCTGGCTGCTTCTAGATTCAAAAGTAGAACTGGACAATTAGAGAGAAAACAACAAGCTGCCAACATTTGGAAGTGACCTTATTGTACGAAACGACATGAATCAACATTTATTGTTACACACATATATTATAGTCTATAGTAGTCCAATGCACTGTCTGAACTGCTTAGAGTGGTGACTCCGGCAACAATATGTGGCGGAGTCTTGTAGAACAATTGACATCAAGGAAATACTGTATACTGGGTGAACAAGTTTTGCACAAAATGTCAACTCCCTGTCTAGGGCATCAATCGTACATGGTAAAGGTACCATCTACAAAGGGGAGAGGAACAGAACCGTTGAGTTTTGTGCTTGGTTGCGAAACTTGACAACGCCTTATGTCATCCCTTTGTCAGTCCTCATTTTACCCACATCCACGAGTGACGTGTGTCACCCAACCACAAAAGAACACAACAAAAATGGCTCTGATCTGGTAATCCTTCCAAGATCCCAACAACCTCAACATGGTCTCATCTTCATCAATAGACTCCTGTAAGTTGAAAATCTACCGGAAACTACCCATGGTCTTCACCCCAAATCTAATGGGTTTCCGATGTGTCCCTTCCAACCAATTCCGGGACCGGGAATCTTCCTGACATGTGTCCCTCGACTCAGACTGTATCAGGCCGCCGACCAAGCCGACCAATCGCTGTAGCTCCGTCAGATTCCTTTAAACAATTCCAAGGTTGACCTTGTTGCACCTGTTCTTGCTTTGTGGTGTGTCCCCAATCCCCCAAAAAGGTGACCTTTGCAGGGATCCGCTCTTCGTGGGCAGGATATATGGCAGGATCATCCATCGGTGGCCCTGGACCGCTATCACTTTCATGCCGCAGCTTTCAACGACTTGGAGACGTCCGTGGCGGCCTGGGGGTGACCGGCGAAGACGAGCAGGGCCTGCTCAACGAACAGGTGAATGATATGAAAACGGTGGTTTTGGGTTCCGCCTCCAGCCGAAAGGGCAGGATCAACCCCCCAGCTAGAACGGGAAAGGGCACCCCTATGGAACCCTGCAGGTCCAGTCTGACCCAGTTGAGTCGCGTTTTTTGTTATGATCAACTTCCAAATGAGGTCTTTGACCTATAGGGGAAGAGTTTCCAGTGTCACTTTCGGAGGTTGGGCCGCTGTCCCACCCACCTGAGACCGGGCTTCGTTCGGCCGTTCGTTCCTGGGCTCCTGGCCCACCTCTGTTTCGGTTCGATGGGACTGGGGGCCCGGGTGCCTTACGGGGGGTCGAAGACCACCGGTCACCTGAGGAGATGGGACAGGAGCCCATCCGGGAAAGTCACCTGACATCGAGACACATGCGGAAATGGGGCCAGAAAAAGCGCGTGCGATGATCCACACGGAAAGCAACCAGATCCACCTGGCTGCGAGGTTGCTTTCCGGTCATTTCTCAGTCATCTTGTAGAACACGCGGATCAACGCGGATTCTCCAACCTCACAGCCATGCTCTCATTCTCATCCCAGGTGCTGTGGCAGCAAGTCTGACACCTTTAGTTGGAAAATAAGAAGATTCACCCAACATTTCCACCACTCTTGAGGTTTCCCGCAAATGGCCCTGTAACAGGTGACGGGATCCACTGCTTGGTCGGTGGTTGGGATGGTTTTCCAACTTTTCCCTTCAGAACCCCATCGAACTCCCTGGGCCTGGCATATTTACTTTGGGGTGGTTGAAAAGATCGGTCTTTCATGGTCTTTCTGGGGGGCCAATCTTCCAGGTTCCAACTATGAAGGATCGTGTTGAAGTGGGATCTCACCCGAATCGACTTCCGGCTTCGTAGCGACGTACCGCACCGCATCGGACCGGTCGGAGAAGACCAAGTCGTGCCTTTCGCCCCCAAGCGTCTGCGTCCACGATCTCGTCCAAATCGGGGGTGTCAACCACCTACGCCATCGTGCAGGGTGCAGGGTGGGAAGTGGGTGGTGGATTAGTAATATATATATATATATGTGTGTGTGTGTGCAAGCAAATGATTACAGAATTTAATGGTTCCATGTGTGCTGGTGGTGAGACAGGCAGATCAGCACCAAAAATGGTGGTGGTTTGCAAATGACAGCAAGCAGAAAATCAAGAAATCACATTGTAGTATGTATAGTACAATTAGGTCAAATTGAGAACCAAAGCAACATAGCAACATGTTTGAAAGGCGCCGATTTTCTGCCATCCGAACTATACTAACTATGTTGTGCTTCATGAATACTTTCGTGGCTCGGCAGCAGAATCTCTACATCAAAAGCAGGTCATCAACTTCCGCACTTACACGAGTCGGTTTCAAGTTCTCGGCAGGGCTGCAGGGCTTGGTACGGTGTATATGGTTGCTCACCTGCACCTTCTCGAGGGTTGGTCGTAGAAACCAAAGGTAGGCAGCATAGGAGACTCCATCTCAGGACCAGTTTTTGCTTGGTCAAATGATGTCAAATGCGCTACTTGTAGTGGTCCCCAAATCCATAGTGGCATGGTTTCCAACATGTTTGGTGGGGATGCCATTTTCTATCTATTTGTCTTTATATTGGAAATCCTCCAGCCTCCAGCCTGAGCTTTTTCCGCCTCTGGACGGCGCCGTCAGTTCCTGTACACGGCGGTAAAACGGGTTGGCTCTGCTCCCCAGTCGCAGCCAGGCTGGCCTAGTGCACTGCTCCTAAGGCGCCGGAAGGCAGCAAAGCATGGCTTCAGAGAGAAGCAGCGATCGCGTCCGTCGCTGAACTGTCATGGGTGATGGATGGTGATGGTGTTTTCTGAGCAAATGCCCCCCCTCAGTATTCTCCGACTGATTCGAACTTTTACGAGGTGTGTTTTCTTTGCACTAATCGTAAGTGGCGAAATGTTAGGGAGGAAAGCACAACCACAACCAAGCGTGGCGTTGCTGAAGAGATCAGCTGACCTATGGGCTTGCAGATTGCACAGTTGCCCGAAAGGAAGAGGTGTTCATCGCTTTGGAAGCCCCTCCCCACAGCACCCTGCCGGATCACACCTATCCAAAAATCTAAGCATATTAAAACCTCCCAGACTCCCAAGAAGATACATCCAGCGACTTCAATTCAAGCACTCCCTGCTCAAACGGTTGCAGTTCAGCGCACCCGGAGAGGTGTTGGTCCTGGTTTTGGGCAAGTTCACCACTTCCGACCCAAATGACTGTTGTTTCTGTATGCTTTTGTTTTTTGTTCTCATGAGCTCCAACTCCAGCCAAGGATGCCCTTTCTCTGTGAAGTTCGCGGCGCAAACTACGCGGCTCCTCTTCTTGCTTCTGCTTGACTCAAACATATTACATTGTCGTGCGATGTAGTGCGATTCAATTCAAAGGACGAATTACCTTCCCCAAAGCGCCTCAACTTGTCAACTCGGCACTGGCATCATCTTCATCGAAATCGGCATCTTTGATGTCCGGCGTTGGGGAAGGCATATGGCCATGCACCG